TAGGGTCCTGCGCATACGCCTGTCTAACTTTCTCCTGCAGGTCACTCCCTATCTCCAGATAGTGAACTATAGCTCCAAAGTAGTTGGATCTCCTACTTAGAGCATCCGCCACTGCATTATGCTTGCCTTTAAGCTTGAGCTCAAAGTCGTACTAGTCTATCTCAGCGGCCCTCCTAGTCAACTTAGGTGTCATTTTGGCCTGTGTCTTCGGCCACCTCAGAGTCTCGTGGTCTGAATACACTTTGAATTGCGTCCCAAGCAGGTAATGCTTCCAGTGCTCTAAGGCCTGCCTGAGAGCGTAGAGTTCCCTCTCGTACGTCGAGGTAGCGACGTTCCCTGAGGGCATCTTCGCTGACATAAACAGTGATGAACTCTACGGGTCTACTCCTAAAGACCTCTACATCCACTACGACTAGTTGTCCCTTACTATCCATCTTCATTTTGGCCCAGGCAAGCATCCTCTCCTTCAACCCCTCTGCCACGCCTGTGAGGGAAGTGCCTAGAGAGACGCTGATACAAGCAGTCTCTGGACAGCTAACTAGGCACAGGCTTGCAACCTCTGCCGAAGGCGCATGTGGTGTGGGAGTTTCCTGTACACGCGTGCTCGCTTCCCCACATGGCCTAGTAGTAGGGGCAGTTGCAACCCCTACCGGCGGCTGCCTTTTGACTCTTGGGCAGCCCATCGGGCCTGTCTATATTTAGGACAATATTTAACAATATGGGGCGGGTCACCGCAATATATGCACTACCCCTGGTCCAGTGTCAAACTCTCTGGTCCAGGCCCAGATCTTCCCAAGGCCGGCCTTGTGGCCAACCTGGGTGCCAACCTCCTCTCCTTTGAGGTGATCCTCCACCTCGTCGCTGCGGGGACCGAGTGGGACCTTGACGATTTGGCGGGGGACCTTGACCCCTACCTCCCTCTTGGCGGCTCCTTTGACCGCCAACCCCTGTGCGCCCGGTCCTTGACCTCCCGTGGCCTGGCCCCTTTGGCCCTGGCCTCCTCCTCTACCCGACAGCCTCCCTCCAGCCGCGGCAGCAACATAGGTCCTTCCCTGGCCTACACTACTGTCCTCCTCCTCAAGCCCCCACTCGATTTGACTATAGGGGACCTTGTTTGTACCACCTTCATCTAACGTTAAGGATCAAATGATCCTTGGCCCTAACCTGGCCAGAGATGGTACGACCTTTCCACTTTTTGTCCTTATCTAAGTCCTTATGCTAGAAAGTGGAAACTGGCATGGACTTGGCCTCAAACAGGACCACTTCCCTTCCTACTCAACGCGTCATACGTGATGTTGGCCTCTTGGGTCTTGTCAAAGAAATGCCATCGCAAGGGCTCTGGCATGGCACGATAGAATAACTGGACCAACTGGGTCTCAGTGACCCTGTGGTCTGGGACGGCTACCAAGTCGTCCATGATAGTTGTGAGTGCTTGCACACTCCTCCACTGTCGCGAGTGGATGGTTTGTGCCTGCACCTCCATGCCCCGCTTGCTACCTCCTCTTCTTCGTGCCACTGCTTTCCCCTCGTGCTTCCCTGCGGCTCCTGTCGAGGGGTACATCTTCTACTTCTTCCTCCTCTGCCGCTGCTTCTTCTTCAGCAGTTCTCCTCTTCCTTCTCCTGCTCTAATCTCCTCATCTCTTCCTCCAACTTCTTCTTCTTCGTCGCCTGCTCCTCCGTTATCGCCGTCAACTTTGCTTGCTTGAGGAGCTCCTTCTCCCTTCTCTCCCTCAGTACGGCGGCGGCTTGCTCCTCTTGAGCTTGGGTGTAGGGGCCAGTACTCTTCCCACTACGGGTGTCAACCATGGTGTCTGGTGCACAACCGAACAACGGTTCCACTCCTCACCACTTAGACTCTACTCCCCCTGACTGACTCAACCTACAGACTCAATCAAGGACCACAGAATCCGGACAGGATTGTGTCAACTAGGGTCTCTAGCCTAGACCTACTCTAAGGCTGTCACTACAGGACCTGTTGCTGATCAGGAGGCATTTAAGGAGATCCCCTGTAACTCCTCGGGAACTCTTTAACGTCGCAGACAGGACGACGCAATCAGCAGGTCCTCTCAAGACTTCGACGGCCTGTTGTGCAGCCCACAGCTCGGATTTTGGGCCTACCGTGCCACACCGAGCAGCCCACCGGTCAGTACCGGTCCTTGGGAGGGTTCGTGTCCTCCGGGACAGTCGAGTCGTCAGACACAGTCTTTAGCCCTACTCAGCCCGTGTGGGTTTGGTCAACAAGGCCCTCTCCTTCATCCACAGAGTCCTATCACCTGGACAGAAGAGACTCAATGCAGAAAGAGAAGACAGAAAGACTTGACTCAGCAAGTACCACAGGGTGTGTGCACATCCATAGGGCGAGGGATAGGCTGAAGGCTTGGCGAGATTTTACCGGCTCCAGCTTGGTCAAATTCGTGATCAGCAGTCTTGGTCAACGCCTTGGTCAATGCTGCAGTCAACTCCCGGTCAACTCCGGTCAACGCCTGGTCAATGCCCGGTCAACTCCGGTCAACGCCTGGTCAACTCTGGCTATGGCGGCCGGCTTCTCCTTCGTCGCCACCCTTCTCCTTCCTTCTCTCTGCCTCG